AAATATTTCAAAAACATTAATGTATGATTTTCATTATAACTATATGATTAAAAAGTTTAGTAAAATCAAATTATTGTATACAGATACGGATAGTTTAATATATCATATATTTACAAATGATTTTTACACTGATATAAAACCTGACCTTTCATCATACTTTGATACCTCAGATTATGATACAAATAATATTTTTGAATATCCAAAATTAAATAAAAAGAAATTAGGTTTTTTTAAAGATGAAAATAATGGTAAAATCATGAAAGAATTTGTGGGTTTACGATCCAAAATGTACGCTTTTAACTTAGAGAATAAGACTATAGCCAAGGCAAAAGGGGTAAATAAATGTATCACTAAAAAGATGACAATGAATAGTTATAAGTCTTCTCTATTTAATAAAAAAGTGCAATATTATAGTATGCTTAGATTTAAATCAATTAAACACACAATTTTCACACAAAAATTAAATAAGATAGGTTTATCATATAATGACACAAAGAGACATATTTTAGATAATAATATTGAAACATTAGCTTGGGGTCATTATAAACTGCGTTAAGTGTTGATAGTTTTTACTTTTATGTCTGCGTTTAAGAAAAATTTATATTGATTGTAAAATTATGATAATACTATAATATGACGTAGTTTATTACATATTTAATCATTGTTTTATTGTAAATAATTTAAGTTAATTGTTGTTTCTATTTATTTGAGGTTGAGTTAATTGTAAAATTATGATGTACTAATTGTTGTTTCTATTTATTTGAGGTTGAGTTAATTGTAAAATTATGATGTACTAATTGTGTTAGAAATAGTATACAGATAATTCTGTTTTATATAATTTTTGGAATATATATTAATTGTTTACACCAACACTTTCATTTTTTATTTCACCCCTTTGAACTTTAGACGTGTGTTATGTTTCACTTTATCCATCCGTTCACTGCTATTGTGGCAGGACCAAGTGGGTGTGGGAAGTCAAATTTTGTAACAAATTTCATAAAATCAGTTACAGAAATATGTAATTGTGATTTTAATCAGATCACATGGTGCTTTGATAAAATGCAACCATTATATAATTTACCAAATGTTAACTATCATCAAGGAATTCCAAATCTTAATATGTTTGATGGTGAAAACCCACATCTTGTTATTATTGATGATCTAATGAGAGAGTCCGATGGAAGAATTGTGTATATATTTACAAAAGGTAGTCATCACAGGAATCTTAGTGTATTTTATCTAACACAAAATTTATTTCATCAGGGTAAAGGACAAAGAGACATATCTTTAAACTCAAGTTATATAATATATTTTAAAAACCCTCGAGATAAAACTCAAATAAGATATTTAGCAAGACAAGTATCACCAGATAACCCAAAATTCATTGAAAATGCCTACAGGGATGCAACTCTAGAGGCGCATGGATATTTAATGGTAGATTTAAAACAGAATACCAATGATTTTTGTCGTATCAAGACAAATGTCTTTCCATTTAATGGTTTCTGTACAGTCTACGTCCCCACAAAAGAGTTTAAATACACCAAGAATCAAACAATTGAAATCATTGCTAAATGATGCATCGTCGACTCACAACGTATAAACATTTGCTAACCGCTTTGCATATGCTTAAACCAAAATATCAAAGAGCATTACTTAAAACGTGTGATGAAGAAGAAATTAACTGTATTTGTGAGTGTATTCATAACGTTTTACAAGGAAAAGTACCTCTTAAAGATCAGGATAAACAAAAATTGAATAAACATAAAAACATACTCCGTAAACTAGTACGTAAGTGTAAACATAAACTAAGAAAAAATATAATTATACAAAAAGGAGGGGCTTTCTTACCAACAATATTAGGTGCAATATTGAGTGGATTAGTGAGTGGACTAGCCAGTTAACATGGAAAATGCAAAGAAAATGATACTTATCGAACCTGGATTGATTGAAAAATTAAAACAAGAAAATAAGGTTAATAGTAATTTATCTCGATTAGATATTGAAATGCAAAATATTATGAATAGTAAGACGGAAGACCGAAAGAAATGGATATTATATTTACAAACATTGCAAAGATACCTTCATTTTACCGAAGAGGATCGTCAACCACTCAAATTACCAATTTATTCTGATACATCTAATGAAGATTCAAATGAGTCAAAAATTGGTTTTAAAAATAAAGATAGAGATCTAAAAACTTCAGTTGATATTGAATCTTTGCTGGAGGAGAATCGATCCACTAAAAGTAAAGAAAATGATGAAAATCCACTTTACACACCAGCTCAAATACTCAGTTTAATACCAAAAACTTATCATAAAAAAGGGCAGTTATTATTAAACTTAGTTGAAACAAGTAAAAGTAAAATACATTGGGATAACGAAGGTACAGTCATAATTGATAGTGAAAAAATTCCTGGAAGTAATATTGTTGATTTAATAAATGATTCACTAAGACCCCTAAAAAGAAGTGATCCGGTAGGGTGGGTTAGATTTGCTGAAACATTAAAAGATATTAAAGTACCACTTACTTATATTGGAAATCCAAGGAGATGTGAGTTTATTAACCAACTTCAAGCAAAAGATCTGAACAAACCCTCTGAGATTGAAGTTCAAGAGTTTTCTACACCGGGCAGTAGAGATAAAAAGTCTACAACTAAAATACGTAAAGGACTTGAGTGGGAAAAATGGACCCCGTACTAGAAGAAATTAACAGGATTTATTATGATCCATCTAATCCCGCTGGTTTTGGTAGTATTGATAAATTTTCAAAAGCCATGAAGGGTAAAATGAATAAAAAGCAAGTAAAGGAATGGTTAAAATCACAAGAAACATACACATTACATAAACCCATTCGAAAAAAATTCCCGCGTAATAGGTACATTCTATCAAATATTAATGAACTGTGGCAAGCTGATTTAAGTGATATGCGAACTTATTCTCAATATAATGATGGTTTCAAGTATATACTTTGTATTATTGATGTATTTAGTAAATATGCTTTTGCAAGACCAATGAAAAATAAAAACTCAGAAACAACTAAAGAATGTTTTGAAAGTATATTTACTGAAAGTAATTTAACACCTACTCACATACAATCCGATAAAGGTACAGAATTTGTTTCAAAAGATGTACAAAAATACTTTAAATCCAAAAAGATTAATTACTATACCACTAACAATCCTGACATTAAGGCCAGTATTGTTGAACGATTTCAAAGAACACTAAAAATGAAAATGTGGCGTTATTTCACTCATAATAATACTTATAGATATATAGATGTTTTACAAGATTTAATATACTCTTATAATCACAGCTTTCACTCTAGTATTAAGATGTGCCCATGTGATGTAAATTCCAACAATATTATGACAGTTTGGACTAATCTTTATGATAGACGGTCAAAAAAACTTTCTTTAGAAAATCCTAAACCAAATTTCAATGTGGGTGATTATGTTCGAATAACTAAATATAAACATGTATTCCAAAAAGGATATGAATCAAATTGGAGTGATGAAATATTTATTATATCTTCAATAATTGATAGATTTCCATGGGTTGTTTATAGAATAACAGATTTACAAAATGAACCAATAATTGGTACTTTTTATGAAAGAGAATTACAGAAAATCACTTACAACCCCACCTCACAACATAAAATAGATAAAATAATTGACACTCGTTATTCAGGTAACAGAAAAGAAGTATTAGTGAAGTGGAAAGGTTATCCAGATAAATTTAACAGTTGGATTTTAGCTTCTAGTTTAAAAGAAATATGAATAAAGAAAGTTTCTATTTAACTTTGCTCAGCAATAGTTCAATGGAATACTTTCCTGATAACAAGACCACAAATTTTTCAACGAAATTACCAAAAGCTATAAAATTAGAAGGTGAATGGTCGGTTGGAGTTGTCGAGTTTCAATATCCATGTACCATGTTTACTGTTCAAGACCATGAAAATGTTATATACATTACAAAATCTATGTTAATGCCTAATGAAGATAAACCATCCACAGTGTACTACAAAAAACATATTCCAGCTACCAACTATGATAACGTTGAGCATATTTTAAGAGTGTTAAATGGTATCGGAGAGAACTTGAAATTTCGCTATGATGAAATAACAAAATTTGTGTCTATTTCGGTATTGGATAAAAATATAACATCCGTAACATTATCACCCAAATTAAGTTTACAGCTAGGTTATGAACCAAATAAAAATCTCCTAGAGAGAAATTTTGGAAAGTGTCCTGCTAATTTACACTTAGGGTTACCATCTCAACTATTTCTATATTGCGACATTATCGATCCTCAGATTGTGGGTGATGTTATGACTCCTTTATTAAGAGTCATTTCATTAGATCCTACAAAATACATTTATGGTGCAAATAAAATGCACGTTTTCTCTCAACCTCACTACTTACCTGTTATGCGAAGAGAGTTCGATACGTTGGAAATAGTTATAAGATCGAGTACAGGACAAAAAATACCATTCCAGTTTGGAACCGTGTGTATTAAACTACATTTCCGAAAATTATAATAATGAATTCTCTTCGTGATCATCATAAATGTCCATATGAAAATTATTATACACATCAAGCTGGATCAGGAGTTGGAGTAATTTATAAGGGTTCACCATATCAACGCGGTCATGGTATTGGGAGCTTCTTAGGGGGGTTATTCAGATCAGTTTTACCTTTACTTTCAAGTGGTGCTCGAGTGATTGGTAAGGAGGCATTAAGCGCTGGAGTAGGACTTTTATCGGATATGGTTCAAGCCCGTCCTATGGAAGCCTCAATAAAAGATCGTCTAAAGCAAGTTAGTACGAATTTAAAACGAAAGGCTGATGAGAAAATTGATCAATTTAACATGACTGGATCTGGGTATAAAACTAAAAGAAAACGATTGACATCGTTCATTCCACCATTAACTGCTAAAGTGAAAGCTGCGAAAAAACTTTGTCTAAAACCAAAAAATATCAAAGATATATTTTCAAACTAAATATGTCTTTCCTTCATAATCATTCTTGCGAGTGCGTTAAGTCAGAATTGGATTTGTTTGCACTACCGTCTACACAAACTAGCATTGAAAATGGATTGTGGATTCATTATAAACCAATTTCATCTCTTGGTGATGATGGACCTATCGAGTTTCAAGTTCCTGGGACCGGCGATGACTACATAGATTTGTCTCATACATTACTCCACATAAAGGCAAAAGTATTAAATCAAGATTCAACTAACTTGGTATCTACTACAATAGTAGCACCTGTAAATAATTGGCTGCATTCACTTTTTAGTCAACTAGATGTTTATTTAAACCAAAAACTTGTATCACCACCTAATAATACCTATGCATATCGAGCATACATGGAAACCCTTTTAAACTATGCCCCTGCTGCTAAACAATCTCATCTTACTTGTAGTCTTTGGTGTGAGGATACAGCAGGAAAAATGGATTCTACAGATGGTAAAAACATAGGATTTGTTAAAAGACAGGAATTGATTAGTGAAAGTAAGGAAATAGAAATGATTGGTCATCTTCACGGTGACATTTTTAACCAAGATAAATTTTTAATTAATGGTGTTGAAATGAGTGTTAAATTGGTTCGATCAAGAGAGAGTTTTAATTTAATTGTTGGGTCAAACGATGTAAAGTTTAAAGTTTGCATTACGGACGCAACTCTTATTGTTCGACGAGCACGAATTAATCCAAGTGTATTACTCGCACATCAAAAAGTTTTAGCTTCTACCACTGCTAAATATCCTATTACTCGAGCTGAAGTAAAAGTTTTAACAATTCCTTCGGGTGTTCAAGGAAAAACTCTTGATAATATATTTTTAGGACAGGTACCGAAAAGATGTATAATTGGATTTGTGAACAATTCTGCATTTAATGGTTCCCTTACTAAAAATCCATTTAACTTTGAAAACTATGGTATTAATTCTTTCAGCTTATATATTGATGGTCAACAAATACCTTCAAAAGCTTCGCAACCATCTTTTAATAATAGCATATTTACATCAGCATATCATACTCTATTCTCGGGAACTGGTATTCACTTTCTTAATGAAGGAAATGGAATCTCTTGTGAACAGTATGGCAAAGGTTACTGTCTATTAGCATTTGACTTAACTCCTGATTTATCAGCTAACTCATCAACTCATTGGAATCTCATAAAGCATGGTAGTGTAAGAATAGAAGTACGATTTGAATCCTCATTAATACAAACAATTAACTGTATAGTTTATGCTGAGTTTGATAATATTATTGAGATAGATAAAAACAGAAATATTACTGTAGACTATAGTAGTTAAGGTTATAATATGTGTTGTGTGTTAGATTTTATGTGTTATGTGTAATGCATTTTGTGTGTATGTAACTATGTGAAACGTTATAAAATTAAATAAAACAAATTGTATGCAATATATTTTTTTTATTTCTTTATAAATCTTCTATTTAATCTAATACAAAACACTGTTCGAGTTGAAATTTTACATAAGCACACTGACTAAACCACTGAACATGCTGCTGCCAAGGATCATCATCATCTTCCCAATCTTTTAAACCACCACCACAATGGAAACACTTGGTCCCGTCTGCATGGCCAGTATAAAAGAAACCAGCTTCTGCAAGATCTTCAGGTTTCTGTCGCATAACGAGAGGCCAGTTTTCGAAACTAAGCAAACGGCTAGATTTTGAACTGAAGAATGGATATTCAGCTCTTGAGTACTGCATACTCTTCTCGTTTTCTTCTCCACTCAGTGTTGTAGTTTTGTTATTCAATGATGTGTTTTGTACACGTATGCCACACTCATCTCTTCCTTCCGCTCTTGTCTTCCTGTAATTGAAGTAAACAGAATCACATTCACTAATGATCAGCTAATGACTGTCATTGTTAAAAAAGTATTTTTTAACTTTTTCACTTTCTGCTATTCTCTTTGTTATATTGTATACGAGGGCGTTTGTGTTGTCGTAGATGCTATCCTTATTAGTCTTTACGTAATATTTAATTCTCGTGGAAGCATGTTTCCAATGATCAGTAGTTGGAATCTTGGATAGCTTCTTCATATCGTACATTTCAATTTTGATGAGATGCGTCGCTTGGTCTCCGTCGTCAGAATTAGTAGAAATGTATGATACACCATCTCTAGCGGCTCGTGCTACGGTTGATGATAACAGCTTCCTCTTTTTTATTTTTGATTCAGCTTCAAAAAAATGATCAATCGATTGCGATTTTCTTTTTCCACCATCGCATGTGTTATTATTAATGACGAGGTCATCACTCTCTTCTTGAGGGGAGAGTGGCGAGTAGTAATACTGTTTATAGGTATTTTCATCGAAGCTCAATGATTTCTGCAACAACACAGTTATCATGTTAATATCAATTTGTTAACACTTAATCATAAAAGTTAAAAAAGTTAAAGTTACAGCCTATTAAAGTCCACTGCTGAACATAGGCCTCCTCTCATTTCTGAGAGGGTTTTAGGGCAAGGAAATGTCCGCCGCGCTGCCTCAATGTGTGTTGGCGAACTTCACATGCCTTCGAAATTTTCTCAGACATGCAGGTTTCCTCACGATGTTTTCCTTCACCACCAAGCACGTGGTAATAAGCACTTAAAATTGCGATTAACAATTTAATTGGTGCTGGCGGGGATCGAACCCGGGTCGCGTACTGTGAAATTTACAGCTAGCGCTAACCATCTGAGTTACCACGGCTTAATCATATACATACACAATATTTAAATAAAATAATACACACGCATGAAAATAACAGAAAAAAAGTAATTTAGTCAATAGAATAAACACTTACATCCATAGCCTTTGGTGCATTGAAGTAACACAAATGTACTATTGATAGATCCACTGCACTCAAACGACCATACACTAACTCGATGACTGCGTCTGTTGGTCTTATATACCACCAGTACGTAAAAATTCTAATCTAAAGTATTTCCGTAATGAGTTGATAATTACTTTATGCGTCAACCAGTTTATCTCACATTTCCATTGCCTATCTCAACATTTCTTCGTATTGTGTTTTGTTTGGTGATCAATGACTCAAGTACGATTTGTATAACACAAAAATGCAATTTAATATTTAGAAATCACTATAATTGACCATTCCTATGTTATTCATTGAGTAGATTGGTACTGTAATAATCTACTAATAGCAGTAATATCATGGATACACTAGATGTACAACAACATCTGAAAAAGATTCACCCCAGTCTAGAAAATAATGTTTATGCAGCTAATAGACTGCCTATGTATACCCACGTACCAACGTATATAATATGCAATTTGGATACAGATGATAAACCAGGGTCACATTGGGTAGCTTTATATATCGATACGAATGACGTCGGTCAATATTTTGATTCATATGGACGATCACCTGTACGATATCATCTAGAGTTTTTAAAAAGGAATTGTAAAAGATGGAACTGGAATGTTGATAGGATTCAGAATGAGTGGACTTTAGTTTGTGGCGAATATTGCTTAATGTATTTGCTATATAAGTTTCAAGGATGTTCAATACATAGTTTTACGAGTATATTTACAAGGAACACATTGTACAACGATATTTTAGTGGATGAGATGTTTCGCTCCTATTTTATAGATAATAAGTAATAAGATTTTGTATTTTATAAATAAAAATTGTAACAAAATTATGTAATGTGTTTTATTGATGATTCAGATTAGCGTTGTATAATTAGGAACAAAGAAGTATAATACAATAGCACTGATATAGTCGACGCACACGCTGCAATGAAGGTGATTAATAAACAATAGAAATAGGAACAATGGGACGCTAATGACGGTGGAGGCCCTTACCGGATATCAATTAGATATTAGCTAATTGATCTACACATCTCCGGAACCGTGCAGTCTACACAAAAATGGACCGCGGATTCGTGATCAGAGCATGCCAAAACTTTTTTTTTTTTTTTTAGGATCGTGCGTCGACGAACGTCGTTGAACCACGTCTGACTCAGGTGGTCTAGAAGTGGTACAACTACTAGCTTGTGCCCCTCAGGAGTGTCCAACTTAGCATATAATGGTTGCAAGTGGTAACGCCTGGCTCTGGCTACAGCTTTCTTGGCAGCTCTTTTCGCTGTCTTGTAAGATGCGCGATCTTCAGGAGATTTAGTCGCTTGCCACGTCTTGAAGAGCGCTTTCTTCTCCCGTAATGAACCCTGGACTGTGGCGTCCCACGACCAGGTCTCCTTGTCGTTTTGGCGGCCCCCTTTTGCCACGCCGAGAACTTGCTTTGCCGTCTTTGTGATTGCTGTCTGAATGGATTTCCAGCGCTCTTCGACGGACTTGCCTGCTGTGTTGAGACTAATATCCCCAGTGGCAGAGTCAAACTCTGAGTATCATCTGGTTTAATCCAGCAGCCACCACTTGATTTGACGGCGACAACGTTCGGCGTGTCTGCGACGGGGTTTTACGCAGAGGTCCATGACAAGAAGTCGGTGTTGGGCTGTGAGACACTCACCGGGCCACGCGACTGATATGACTTCTCCTGGTCAGTAGATAGTCGATTTGAGTGGCGTTCCGACCGCTCCTGTAGGTAATCAGGTGCTCGGTTTTCTTTTTGAAGAACGTGTTCACCACGGCCAGGTCAGCTGCAGTGCAGGTTCTGAGAATGGTTTCCCCCTCTGCGTTTCTTCGGCCGTAACCATAGCCGTCGTGGACACGTTCATACTCCCCCTGCACCTCGCCCACATGACCGTTCAGGTCACCACCCAAAACGACATCGTGGGACAACGGTATGCCGCGTAGTACATTCCCGAGCCGATCCCAAAACAGCGTCTTATCCGCGTCGCTGCAGCCGACCTGGGGCGTAGGCACTTATTAAGTAATAGTAAGTTCAATATAACAACTTTAATTTCGTCTGTATAGGTACATTAAAGACTTTATCCCGTTTTTCGCACCCTTAGGGTTTTTTTAACCAAATTTTAATATTTAATAAAATGAAATCTGTAACACACCATTTTATTTTATTACGTGGATCTACATACTTATACAAAAAAGAACATACTGTTGTATTGAGAACCGCCTTTTTTGATGTCGGTTAAAAATTACAATAAGTAATTTCAACAAAATATCGATCTTTCTAACAAGCGAATATTAGAAAATGGCAATTTCAGAGATAAGGACCTAATATTAAATAGAAAGTTAATAGCGGAACTGTGGGCTCTCCTTTAATCACATACTTGTTTTTCTAAACCAGTTGCTTATACTTAAAAATTGGGTGTGGTCATTACCATTTGATGATAAAATACCATTATAATGGTATAATTATAAAATATAGAGATTTAATTTTAACGAGGACAATCATTTTCTGCTCACCAGATGTCGCTAGGTGGCACTGAGGTAAAGTGTTTTGTTACAACATATAATTTAATTGAGAAGTTGTTTTTTAATAAAACTTTATCAGTTTCTAGACTATTATATTAATACAGAAAACAATGCGTCAGTGGTTTGCTCTTTAATCTTTTGCACATTTTTAACTTTTTTTTTTCATTTTTCTTCTTTTATGAATATCTGTGGTTTGTTTTATTTATTTTAATGTTATTATTAATATAAAATATAGCTAATAGTACAGAAAGAAAAAATAACGTTTAAATTTTCCGACCAAATTAACTTCCCCGCTATGAAATCTGTCAAATATTATACCTCACTTTCTAGTGGCGCCGCTCTGGTGGCACAATAAGTCGTGGCTGCCCTCATTAACGTACTGGTATTCTTTATGCAATTGATAACTATGCACTCCAATATTTCCGAAAATTGGATCGCAAGAATACGAACCAGCGATTTTTCGGTATCAAAATATTTCCTAGCGTATACTATCGACCATCGGCCATGGTCCGATCTTGAACTTTGCTTAAGTTACAAAATGTAAACACGTATCAACTCTACATACGTATCAAACACGACATTTTTCGTGGGTTGGTAAAAAGACGTAACAAACTAATCTATAGGTTAAGTACGTTTCATAGTATCAAGTTACTTCAATCAAAAATTGTAAGTATACAAATTTGATAATGAATTTTTTTTAAACTGAACTTTAACTTTAGAAATCGAAGATTGCCTGGCAACTGCCAAATGTATACGAACTAATACTTATATGTAACTACGTATAAGTATAAGTACTACGTATACGTATAAGTTTGATTCGAATGTAAGTTTATACATCATTATCATCATTAGAGCCCGTCGTAAGTTCATTGCTGAACATAGACCTCACCCAAGGAACGCCACGCACAGTTCCAAGTGTTCGAGACCCCAGCGTGGTGCGAACGATATG